CATGTGACTTCAGACACATTATGCAGCCTTTTTGAATCTATGCAATAGGACTGTTAGGAAATAAGTGTTATATATTAATTTGTAAATTATTTAGCATAGGACCTGACATATCCTAAGTGCTCAGTAAATAGTGATCATTACTGTAGTATTTATGGTTGGGAAGCCTTCGTTCAAGTAGTATATATTGAGTTAGGCTGTGAAATATGAATAAATTATGATATATTAGAACTAGGAGAGCAAAAACCATCAGTGGAAATACAGACTAAGGCATGAAGAGTAGTCAGTAAAGTTAGACCCTAAGGGAGCAGCAAGACATCAGACTAACAAGTTAAGGCTGAAGCTGGAATGTGGCGAGACCAAAATGTCCTCTATAACCCTGCTCTTTCTTTAACAAATGAATGTAATTTTATGCTATTTACTAGAAGTCTTCACAACTGATGTGACTAATGTTTAAAAAATCATTTCTACAGGGATGATTACTCACTTCTTGCAACTGAGGAATGCATAAAAGATGCAATGCAAAACAAGAATGTATGAATATAAAATCCCTACATTTTTCCCATAGACTACTGAATGCAGATTATACCAATTTAAATCTTATTTGCATAGTCAGTTTATTCTACAATCCCTTGTAAAGTGTACTTACCTTTTAGAAAGACAAAAATAGTGAAATCCCATTGATTTTATAGAAAAAGAAAAATTGACCTAGTCAGTTTAGTTGGTGTGTACTGTGATGACAAATCTTATATATACAACCAGATGGTTTCAAAACAACTGCTTTCTGACCCTCCAACCTTCAGCATTTTCTAACTTACTCAGTAAGCCCAGGAAACCTGGCTGACTACAGATCTTCTATCATTACAAAGCTATATAAAATCTCAGAATGTTATACTATGGCATTTACCCATTTGAGCAACCACAGAAAATAAATAAGGGATAGTAAGAGGAGGAAAATACTCAATTTGTAGTTGAGCTTTCCTTATTTAAATTCTGCACATTTAAACATATGTTGTAGCTTGAAGATTTCAAGTATGCTGAACATGCTTGTTCCTCCACTAAAAAGCTTTGCAACTTTAGACAAGTTCTTTCAGCCTTAGTTTTGTCAAGTATAAAGAGAAGGGGGCCTGCTATACTCATAAGATTCCTCCCAGCTGACAAATTATATAATTCTAATGTTCAAGCAAATGTTTTTTAAAAGTGATGTTTAATTCTGGAAGGAGGAGGAAATACTTGGGGGAGGAGAAAATTGATATTAATCCAACTGCATAGCCTTTGTGATAAAAGTCTCAAGGAGGCTGAGGCAGGAGGATCGCCTGAGCCTCGGAGTTTGAGGTTGCAGTGAGCTATGATGAGTCCACTGCACTCCAGCCTGGGCAACAGAGCGAGACCCTGTCTCAAAACAAAGAAAGTCTAGACGTGTGAAATTGAGAATAATGTAAAGCATAACTACATTAAAATGATGATGTATGAGAAGGGGATTAATACTTAGCATCAGTCATTTGAGATAGTGGGGAAAAAAAAAGAAAAAAACAATGTTACCCATACAAAACCAAAGATCAATTTGGTTTGATTTCTTAAGCAAGAAAAATCCTCTGAGTCAGAAAAGTAGCATAACAGGTGAGAATACAAAATTGGAGGAAAATTAGATCAAAAAGCTACAATATCAAAGCTGTGAGAAAAGAAAGGCAGCAATGATAATTAACCAAACATAATTAACTTTTTAATCTTAATAATTGTAATCCATTCTGCAGTCTCAGAGAAATGAAGCATTCATTGTTTAACTGTTCTTCCCCTCCCCACTCCATGTGAAAGTGTGTGTGTCTTTACGAGCCATTGTGGTGAGCAGTTTAAAGAGTGTTCTTAACTTTTAGTCTCTGTGAAAGCGTTCACTCCATTTAACTGGCTCCAAAAATGGCTCTCGTTCCCTTCTTCAGCATCTCCCATCACAGAATGGCAAAAGAATAAAGATCTACTATAAATAGTGAACTTGCACATATTAACAAATCAGAATTTTCTATGACTTTCCCTAATATTTGGGGGGAAAAATAGCATGATTTTTAAATTAAAATTGTCTTTTTCTAATTTAGGTTCTGCTATATTCTACCACAGTCCTACAAATTCATTACAATTGTTCAGGTACTCTCCCCACAGCTATTCTTAAAAGAAAGTAGGAAACATTTCATTGTTCCATACAGGAAGAAAAAGAAATGATTTCAGAGGCTTCCCTAGAGAATTCATTACTCTGTAAATAACAATAGTGTTAAAAAAAAAAAAAAAGAAAGAAAAACATAACCAGTGACAATCATATTTAAGGATGAGAAGAAAGTTAAATTTGCCAAATCCCATCCCTGAAACACGTGATGACTGTTTAGTACATTAGCTCAGCCATCGTCACAGAATTTAAGCCCCCAAAGTTGCAAACAAAATATAGAGTGCTCTTTTGTTCATGACATGTCATGAACAAATTACCAAAATGTGTTTTCTCCTCAGGTGTCAGTTTTTCCCTCTTTCAGTGACTGATGGCTCCCAGTGTTATTACAGAAACAGATTGATCTTTTTAATGAGCCAGTTTAATAGACTCCAAAATCTCACCGTGGCTGCTCATCCATGTCAGACCATATGCACCAACAAAACATTCAGTAAAACAAAAAAAGCTCTGCTGTCAGACAGCCCCATACTCTATAAAATTTCATATAGTAGATCTGGATATATAGATAAATAATCCGAGAACAGGAAAATGCATATGCAAACAAGACGCAGAAAATATATGCAAAAAAATATACCGTAGAGGCCCATATTTTCTTGGCTCTTATCAAATTCCCACAAGATACAAGTGTATTTACACAACATATTCTCATTACCCTTCCTCCTAACTGTAAGGAAACCCATTTGCCATCTTTCCATTTCAACATATACTTCAGGGTTCCACTTGAAAAAGAACGTTCCATCCAAAGATCAACCATATGAATTCTGACTCCAGCAACTGTCCATGAATAACCGAAGGGAGACTACGACCGAAGATTTTTTGTAAGAGAGTCCTCCCTGACTGAATGCATACACACATGCACACACAGCTACAGGGCATCGAAACAAGAATGCTGAGCATCTGTGGAATATAATATGAAGTTTTCATATCAATGTTAACATATTGCTCAGTGCTTATTTCAGGATTGTGCAAGGGAAGTCTAAAGTCATGGTACATTCAAAAATAAAATACCAGGAAAGAGCTAGTGGGAAAATGGCTGGGAATATAAAGAAATGAATGAAACAAGTTTTCATATTCCCTGTAATGGTTATTTAGCAGCTACAAATTCCAGAATAGGTCATGTCCATTTTCAATTTTGCCTACAGGATTATCTTTACATTTTTCCTGGTTATTTAAACCATTCCCTGTTACACTCCCACACCCCAACTACCCCAAATAAATTTTCTTCTTCCCAATTTTTCGCCCAGTCTCACCGTAATTCTTCTATCATGTTATCCTGGAAACATGGAGCTGAAATATCTCAATACCTTCATGTAATACTTATTTCTTGCAGGGAAAATGGGTTCGGATCAGACAGGAATGCACATGTAAATCTCTGGGCTGCCCCTTGGTTTTCAGCATCATGTGGACACACCACTCAGGCACCTGGATTAAGCAGTTCCCTTTAAAAGCTAAAAGGGAAATGCTAAAAGCTAAAAGTACTAAATGTTCTATTTGTTCTTAAATATGACCGAGAAAATACGATTTGCAAAAATACGAAAGTAGTGCCTATTGGTAGCTCACATGTGGAGATGGATCAACAATATGTCAAAAGTAGACTAATATTTAACCCTGTGCTTTAGAAATTTTAAACTATTAAGAGGTTCTATGTTAAGAAGAGAAAAATTCCAGAGATTGCAGCATAAAAACTGCTTAACAGAGGATTAGGTAATAACTGCGTGTAAACTGGCTGACTTTTGCTAACATTCTGATTTGCAAAGCAGCTAATATATTTAAGGGTAGCTAAGTCAGTCACAGATAGATGTCTCTGAACAGCTCCAAAGATCATAAGCTCCTATGAATCTGGAACATAACTGTGCCAGAGTGTTAACCTCTCGAAGGCTATTACACCCATGCCTCATGAAATGCAGAGAAAGAGAATGGATAAGTAGAGAAAGAAATCAAAGCATATGATAAATAAGTTTTTGAATATAGTTTCATTTTTTAATTCTTCATATTTCACAAATACTATGCAAAATGCTGCTAATCAGATTTTGCATTCCTATATCAGGAAATAATTATATGTAGGATGAACTGTTCATGAAAATTATCTTAATTAAGGTACATGGGAAGTTTCATGTGTATGCCTATTCAACAACTACTTTGTATGGTTTAATGGAGAAGGGGCTTTATTTTACATTTCTTAGAATTCTCAGAAGAGCAGAGTATCTGACAGAATAAATAGTAACTGATAAATTAAATTTTCAGCAAAAATACCATCTATTAGCTCTATTACATACTCTTACCCTCACGCAGTTCATCTAGCTTCCCAGAAAATCTCTTTTGGTTCATATAGAAAACATATAGCTACTGTACTGTGTTTACTGAGGAACACATACAGACCAGCTTTCAAAACCATTATGTTTTAAGAAAACTTAGAATGACAAATTTCAGAATATTAAAGTGTAAAACATGTGGTTAGATTATGTAATAAATGAGAATTTCAATATTGATATGTATCTAAGAATCATCGGTAGTATTTGGAACACTTGAAAAATCATTCGTCTTCACCTATTAGCTTTAATAATATTACAAGCAGCAAAGTTTAACCTGCATAAAAGCTGAACTGACACAGGCCAGAGATTCAAAGCTCTGTAAAATCCCAGGCCAGAGAAAGCATCCCAAGATGGCCACGCTGGCTTATCGCCATCCTGCTGGAGACGTAGGCCAGCAGTTTAGATGACACGAAACATATCTTCGTGCCCTAAGTATGAGGAAAAGGCGTTGGTGCATCCGGGGTTCTCCTCCCCCTCACCTGTCTGGAGTTCGCCTCTTCCCGTTTTCGTTCACATCGAGAAGCAGCTCTGAGGAGTCAACAGGTGAGGTGGTGCTGGCATCCAGAAGCAGCTGTTCGTGCTGGGCGAGGTACTGGGCGGGGTTCTGTTTGGCCAGTCTTGCGCAGTGGAGGAGCTCGCGCTGCAGCAGGGGCAAGTTGGCCTGCAAGGGCATGACAGGGATGAGAGGATGGACTGGAAGACTCCTCACCCATCGACTTAGTCTGCCCGTCGAACACTGGAGCGGAGTATGCAAGGCAACCACATCGAAATGTCAAATGCACGCCACAGGTTCCACTCACTGCAGTTCTCAGGACTGGACTACAATGTGCCTGACTGCCCCTGGAGTAAGATGTCTGACCTTTGTGCATTACCTCATCTCTCTGCCACTTCCTCAGGGATAACAATGGGAGTGGCACTTATTATTTTTAAGGACCCTTTATATTCAAATATAAGTTCTACAGGATGTGAGGTTCTAGCTCCATCCATAAGAACTTTTGTTTTCCCCAAGGAAGACTAAGGGTTAAGTGAAATACTACACAGTCCAGTTAATCTCAGGCTAGGCTCCCTTACACATTCAGTTTTCTATTTACAAAACAGGCTAATCTTATGAAATATCGTTAGTCAACTACTAACTTCAAATGAAAATATATTAAGAAATATAGAGATGAACATACAGATTATTTTTAATAATCATCAGATTTTATATATTTAAGAAATGGCCTAGGTACGGTCAGATATTCCAGTTGGAATTCATGCACAAAGCAGCACATACTAGTGGTCTACAAAAGTAATCTGCTGGCCAGGCGTGTGGCTCACGCCTGTAATCCTAGCACTCTGGGAGGCCGAGGCGGGCAGATTGTTTGAGCTCAGGAGTTCGAGACCAGCCTGAGCAAGAGCGAGACCCCGTCTCTACTAAAAATAGAAAGAAATTAATCGGACAACTAAAAATATATAGAAAAAATTAGCCGGGCATGGTGGCGCATGCCTGTAGTCCCAGCTACTCGGAGGCTGAGGCAGAAGGATCACTTGAGCCCAGGAGTTTGAGGTTGCCACGGCACTCACTCTAGACCGGGCAACAGAGTGAGACTCTGTCTCAAAAAAAAAAAAAAAAAAAAGTAATCTGCTTCCTTTGTATCAACCTTATTTTAAGGAATATACGTATTTAACATCAGAAGAAATCCTGTGTACCAGTCAATCGCCCAGGCCAGAACCTTGAATAAAAACTCTCAGAACAGTCTTATTGATAGGCTGATAGGTAACTCTGGCAATCTCAAATGTAATAATAATAATAAAAAGACGCAATTTCACACATAGAAAGGCATTAAAATGAAAACCTATGACAGCATTTTACTCTGAACTTACTTTGACGTTATAAATCCTGGTTGTCATTGCTTTTTCTCTTTTTTTCTCTTTTATTTTTATTATTTTCTTAGGAAGGGGAGAGGAAGAGAGTGGATATTAGGAGAGAGTGAACGGCACTCATCTTCAATAACACTTTAACTCT